TAGCTAAGGAAGCCTGTTGCCCTATTTGACACAATGTCCGTACATTAAATGCTCCAACATGTAGTCTAGAGCGAGGTTTAAGGAGACCAGGAACGACCTTTCGCGAACTCGTATCGTCTGCATTAGCTGTGCAATGTGATGAATGAATGTAAGAAGAGTTAGTCGTGGAGATAAGAGAGGTACTAGGGGGTGTAGGAAGGATTTGATTTTGAAAAATTTGGTCTCGTGTGCTGTTACGGGTATGAGGGCGGTTGTCACTTCCCGGCTGCCCACACCGTGGAAGGTTGTTTCTTGACGAACCTGAAAAGGAAGATGGATTAGTGTTGGTGCGTGACCGCAGAGTCCAAGGGACGACTGCTTGAGGCCGGTCACGCACGGCCTTTTTATGAGACGTTGTTTGAGGATTAGCTCCGTTCTTAAAGGCCCTTAGTGGGCACCCTTACCGATGGAGACGGAAATCCGTGAGGTAGTGTGAGGTGTGACATTTTTAGGGTCGACCTTTTCTAACCCTTCCTTCCTTGTGAGAAGGCAGCATCTCTGCAGATGCTAGTTGTCCGAGGGAAACACCTTACTGCTGTCACATTCCTCTGCAGTCAGCAGAACGACTTCGCCCTCAGACCTTGGGTAGCTGCTTTTAGTCTCATCGTTCTCCAATCGACCTGTCTGGCATGGTAGAACATTGAGGAACATATGTTCCAGCCAATATAGCTCGGTTGGGTCATCACCATAGGCAACCCGAACACCACGTCAAGGTAGCAGCGGAGCTGCAGGTACTGATAAACTGACCCCCGAGATATTTAAGGATGGTGGTCCAGTTTTAGCAGTCCCATCGGACTGGTCTCAATCACTGATTGTCCCAATCTTTAAGAAAGGACAGAAGTGACAATCACAGGGGAATCAGTCTAACCAAAATAGTATCTTAAATAATGGCCTCAATAATACTTCGACGCTTAACGAAAGCTCGTGAAGAGCAAACTCGAGAAAACCAGTCTGATTTTGAGGTGGACGTGGTTGTATAGACCACATCTTCACACTACGACAGGTGCTGGAACAGAGACACACGTTTAGGCGTCCTGGACCTAAAAGTGGCATTTTACTCAGTGGATCGTGAGGTTCTGTGGCAGTGTCTGTCATTGAAAGGTGTACCAAAGAAGTACATTAACCTTATACAAGCACTCTACTCGAACACCACTGGTCGGGTGAGAGCATATGGCGAACTGTCATCTGAATTCTCTACATCAAGTGGTGTCCGTCAGGGCCGTCCACTCTCTCCATTCTTGTTCAACTTTGTCGTAGACATCCTCTTAGAGTTAACATTAAGCTCGTCAGATTTTTCAGGGGTTGACCTTCTACCAGGAAAGTCGCTTACTGATCTAGAGTATGCCGATGACATAGTTCTATTCGGTGAAGACGCTGACAAAATGCAGTCTTCTGACTACCATAAGCAACAATGCAGGCATGTTCGGGATGCGGTTCTCACCCTCGAAATGCAAAATGTTGCCTCAACACTGGGTTGCATTGGCACCTGAACTAGTGATAGGGAGTGAAGTAGTCGAGCGTGTTGATCACTTCACTTATCTAGGGAGCCTCATCAGCGCTGATAGCCTGGTCACTGACGTAATCTCAGCACGGATACAGAAGGCTCGATTGGCTTTTGCCAACCTGCGTCACTTACGGCGTAGGCCTGATATCCGTTCGCTAACCAAAAGGCGGGTGTACTGCGCAGCAGTTCGTTCCGTTCTCTTATATGGCTGTGAAACATGGCCGTTAAGAGTAGAAGATGTTCGTAGGTTACTAGTATTCGATCATAGATGTTTAAGAAGCATTGCTCGTATATCGTGGGACAGCCGAGTAAGCAATGCTGTCGTTAGGAAACGAATACTAGGTAAGGATGGCAGATCAATAGATGAAGTGGTGAAACTTCATTAGTGGAGGTGGTTGGGACATGTGTTACTTATGCCTAACCACCGACTGCCCCGACGAGCTATGTTTTGTGGTGTAGGAGTAGGTTGGAAGAAAGTTAGGGGCTGGCAGACCAAAATATGGCGGAAATCCATGAAGTCACTGACACGTGGACTGACTCATGTCGGGATGCGGGTCTCACCTTCATAATGCTTCTTGAAGATAGGCTTGCGTCGGCACCTGAACTAATGATAGGAAGTGAAGTACTCGAACCGTAGACCGCTTCAGTTATCTCAGGAGTCTCATCAGTGCTGATGGCCTGGTGACTGACGAAATCTCAGCACGGATATAAAAGGCTCGACTGGACTGTGCCAATTTACGTCATTTATTGCGTAGGCGAAATATTCGTCTACTGACCAAATGACGAGTGTACTGCACAGCAGTTCGCTTCGTCAGGACAAGTGGACTGAGTCATGTTGGTAGATGTAGACTACCTGGTTGGGGTCCGCGAGACGAAAGTCATCAATGGTTAGAGACCTTGAACGACATGGCTCAAAATCGTTTGCAATGGCGCAGGTGCATCCACTCTTTGAGCTCTCTTAAATCCCAATCTTCTGGATTCGTCAGCACCTCTACCTTTGTCTTTCTAACCTTATCTAACTGAATTATATTTCTTGAATAATATCTTCGAACCCTAGTCTTCTTTATTAACATTAATACCTCTACTATCTTAATCACTATGGGATTTGATTTGACATTTGCGTCTCTGTGCTGTGGTATCGCAAAACTAACTTACGTACATACGTAAGAAGTTCTACGTTGCAACTGACTGACTGACTGACTGTCTTCCTGGACCTTAAGGCGGCATGTGACTCTGTGGATCGTGAGGTTCTGTGGCAGTGTCTGTCAATGAAAGGTGTACCAAAGAAGTACATTAACCTTATACAAGCTCTCTACTAGAAAACCACTGGTCGAGTCAGAGCGAACTATCACCGGAATTCTACACTTCAAGTGGTGTCCGTCAGGGATGTCCACTTTCTCCATTCTTGTTTTATTTCATCATAGACATGCTCCTAGAAATAACCTTATCCTCGTCTGAATTTTCAGGAGTAGACCTCCCACCAGGTGGCTCGCTTATCGACTTAGAATATGCCGATGACTTTGTCCTACTTGGTGAAGACACTGACAAAGTGCAGAGTCTTCTAACCACCCTAAGCAACAATGCAGGCATATTCGGGATGCGGTTCTCCCCCTCGAAATGCAAAATGTTGCTTCAACACTGGGTTGCATCGGCACCTGAACTGGTGAAAGGGGGTGAAGTAATAGAGCGTGTAGACCGCTTCACTTATCTCGGCAGTCTCATCAGTGCTGATGGCCTGGTGACTGACGAAATCTCACCACGCATGTAGAAGACTTGATTGGCTTTTGCCAACCTGCGTCACCTATGGCGAAGGCGAGATATCCGTTTGCTAACTAAAGGACGAGTGTACTGAACAGTAGTTCACTCCGTCCTTCTTTATGGCTGCGAAAGATGGCCAGTGAGAGTAGAAGATATTCGTAGGTTACTGGTTTTCGATCACGAGTGTCTTCGAAGCATTGCTCGGGTATCCTGGGACGATCGATTAAGGAATGCTATTGTTAGGAAACGGGTGCTAAATAAGGATGGCAGATCAATAGATTAAGGCGTGAAACTTCATCAGTGGAGGTGGTTGGGATGTGTTACGTTCGCCTAACCACCGACTGCCTCATCGATCCATGTTTTGCGATATAGGAAAAGGTTGGAAGAAAGCTAAGGGCGGCCGAACCAAAATATGGCGGAAATCCATGAAGTCACTGACAAGTGGACTGAGTCATGTTGGTAGATGTAGGCTATCTGGTTGGAATCCGCGAGACGAAAGTCACCAATGGTTAGAGACCTTGAACGACATGGCTCAGAATCGTTCGCAATGGCGCAGGTGCAGCCACTCTTTGTGTTCTCTCTAATTTTGACCTTATGAATTCCTCATTATCTCTACCTTTCTCCTTCCAAATTTATCTCACTGAATTATACTTCTCCAATCATATCTTCGCTCCCTAATCTTCTCCATTACTGCTAATAATTCTACTATCGCTATCACTCTTGGATTAGACCCGACAGTTTCGTCTCTGTGCTGACGTGGTATGGCAACCTGAACTGATGTACTTATGTACGAAGTTCTGCGTTGTATCTGTCTGTCTGTCTTCACCCGTCTGCAGTCAGCAGTACATCTTCGCCCCAGATCTCAAGTTGCTGCTTATAGTCTCATTGTTCTCCAATCGGCGTTCCTGGCATGGTAGAACCTTCGGGAAAAAATGTTCCAGCCAATATAGCTGGGATGGGTCATGAGTATAGGCAAGCCGGACCATCACGTCAGGTTAGCAACTACGGACGGGACATGTGTTTGTATTCCCAACCAACTACCGACTGCCTCGTCGAGCTGTTTTGCGATGTAGGAATAGGCTGGAAGAAAGCTAGGGCGGCCAAACCAAAACATGGCATAAATCCATAAAGTCACTGACAAATGGACTCAGTAACGTTGGTAGGTGTAGACTACCTGGTTGGGGTCCGTGAGACGAAAGTATCCGATGGTTAGAGACCTTGAACGACATGGTTGAGGATCGTTCTCAATGGCGCAGGTGCATTTATTCCTTGTGTTCTCTCAAATTTAGATCTTGAGAGTCTCTTATCATCTCCATCTTTTTTTTCACTAGATTCTACTTCGTGAATAATATCTTCTAACCCTTATCTCTCTGATTACTGCTAATAACTCTACTACCTCTAGTACCATGGGATTTGATTTGACAATAGCATTTCTGTGCGATTGTGGTATGGCAACTTGAACCGATGTATGTACGTACGAAGTTCTATGTTGCCGTTGATTGATTGATTGGTGCAAATAGGCTCAAACAATCTTATTACCCTTACTTATGATCATGATTAGAACTCTCATATTATTTGAATCTGGGAAGTATTATGAGAATTAAACTAGATAAAACCTCACAGGTTAGACTAGTTGAAATTTTTTCTAAATAATAATCTTATGACATAGATAACTATACATGATAATATGATAACTTACGACACCGGAATTGTTCATATTGTCTGGATCGATAAGAATGCGTAACATGTAACCCAAAAGGAAAGCATCACTAAGCTCTACGAAAAGTTTCGAATAATAATCTATAAACGAACCTACCAGGATCTGGGTCAGTAAGTAATTGACTTATCATAAGATTAATGAGTAGTTCATCATCTTTTCGAAATGGAGCAGTCTCTCTGAAGACATATTCACGTACAACCGAAGGTTGGTGCTCAATAAATCCCTGAAGAATTTCAAGAGCTGCTGATTTTATATCTCGATCATCAATTGCAAGCAGTACTTCAGCCGTTCTTAGTGCTCCATGTTGAAGTAAGCAACTCAGAAAACTTTCTTTTTGATCTGTTTGTATAGAAATATTACAAAATTCCTTAACAAAAAGCGATAGATCTTTGCGATGGGTGATATCTGTATCTGCTGCTTTTAAACGTGTAAAAAGTCGACACATAAACTCTTCATCTTCCTGAAGAGCTCGTATAATTTCCATCTTGTTTATAGAAACAAACGCTTTAAGTTGGGAAAGAGTATGTTCGTCGAATAAACAAGGAGGTGGTAGACAGCAGTCTTGTATATACTGAACACGATATGTTTGATGTATTTTTGTTATCAAATCTGCATTGTGCAGAGGCAACACTTCCTTGAAAGTAGCTTTATTTCTAAGAAAATCACGATGTTTGGTGCGCCCAGAAGGATTGTATTCTAGGATGCCAATTACATCCAACAGCATATCATCAGCAAATAAATTTTCATAGAGGCTATGCTTGTTTATCAATATAAGTTGTCGCATTATTTCGTAAAGATGATGCAATGATTCCGCATCTTCCAGATCTTCTGCTTTGTGAAAAACATCAACTAATTGATGGAGATAATTAGTAGACTCTAAAAAGGCAACTAATCGCTCACGTTTCGGAGGTGATGCGACAGCCTGACTAACTAGATCAACAATTTCTTCAAGACGGCTTAGTTCACAAGGTGGGAGACTAAGAGGTTGAATACTTTGCATCATTGTAGGGGTATACCCATCTGTGTCGTCGACGTCATCTGACTCGTCGATGACCTCCTGAGTAATCTCTACAGATGGATCCTTTCCTTGTACTGCACAAATTTTTTCCCATACATCATCACACCCAACTTTTTCTTGAAAAGATAAAGCTAAATCCATATTTTCGCCTTCTGACCAAACAATTAATGTTTCTTGCTGCTTCTGATAAGCCGTGTCTGGCTGTATTTTTGACTCAAGAAGATAGGACCCATCTGTCTCCGAAATTACTACTAGAGCCATGTTGTCCTGTTCAGTATACAAGGCTGACACATGACCAGTACCTTTGTCATCCCATTGTCGTTCATCATTTAACATATACAACTTTACTCGACGACGTGTGCTAGCTTCAGAAGATCCCATACCTGGAACAAATCAGAACATCAAAGTAACAATGACATTATGTTAGTTAGTGAACATATTTTAAGTTCTGTTTAAATATTAAGTACTAAGAGACGGATTTGTTAACATTTGGTGAAAGGGTAACACATTGACTTAAATTTCTGGAACATTTTGCTAAATCTGATGATAACTTTTCATTTTGATGCGGACGTCCCGATAGGCTACGCAATTATAAGTGAATAGTATAACCACCAATTTTTCTAAACAGTCACTAGTGAGATGGAGGAAACGGTTAACGACTGCAACCGGAATCGAGCATTTTGGTTACCAAAAATAAATTATATAAGACATTTACACAATAGAGGTAGCGAAAGTAAACTAGGCTCTGATAGATAACTTGCCGTTAGGATTAAATGATTGTAGAAATGATTTATGTTGTGCATGTATTAAGACGTACATTAACCGCAACCACAGTAAATTACGCGGAGTTTACCTATCGATGGCTCGATTATCGATTAAGTAAACGCAGATGTTCTGTACAACACCAAACACGTAATCATTTAAATGCCTTGAGTAACAATGTGAAACTTTGAGGAGTGTATGATCAATTATGCAAAGTCTTACTAAAGAATTGGTCAGTTCTAGTGCCTTATTTGAACATAATGAATGAAATAATCATATGTTAACCATTATTTATCGCTGAGGCCTCATCACTCTTAGTCCCGACCGTAGCTGCTACCTTGACATGGTGGTCGGGTTTGACTATCGTGATGACCCAACCGAGCTATATTGGCTGGAACATATGTTCCTCAAGGTTCTACCATGCCAGGCAGGTCAATTGGAGAACGATGAGACTAAAAGCAGTTATTCAAGGTCTGAGGGCGAAGTCGTTCTGCTGACTGCAGAGGAATGTGACAGCAGTAAGGTGTTTCCCTCGGACAACTAGCATCTGCAGAGATGCTGCCTTCCCACAAGGAAGGAAGGGTTAGAAAAGGTCGACCCTAAAAGTGTCACACCTCACGCTACCTCACGGATTTCCGCCTCCGTCGGTTAGAGTGCCCACTAAGGGCTTTAAAGAGCGGAGCTAATCCTCAAAATACCTTTCATAAAAAGGCCGTGCGTGACCGGTCTCAAGCGGTTGTCCCTTGGGCTCTGCGGTCACGCTCCCAGGTCTCTAAAACCAACACTAATCTACCTTCCCTTTCGGGTCCCTCTAAAAACAACCTTCCATGGTGTGGACAGCCGGGAAGTGAAAACCGCCTTAATACCCGTAACAGAACACGAGACAAAATTGGTCGAAATCATATCCTTCCTACATCCACACACACATTTCTTCTCTCCATAACGAACTCAACTCACAGTCCCTTTTCTCACTGCACCGCTAATGCAGACGAAGCGAGTTCACGAAACGCCATTCCTGGTCTCTTGAAACCCCGTTCTAGACTACATGTTGAAGCTTTTAATGCACGTAGATTATGTCAAATAGGGCAACAGGCATCACTAGCTAGGACTTTATAATCTCGTGCCATCGATGTGTGCTGCGTCTGGGAAACGCGCATACATGATCCGAGTAGCGTCATTCACTCGACCTCACCATGTCAAGATAAAGAAGCAGCTCGATTTACTCTTCGTGTATCCGGTAGCCCTGATGCTGCTTCCCGGGGTCTCACTGGTGTAGGTATAGCATTGAGTCGTAGAGCTGAACAATCTCTCCTTGACGGGATCCCAGTAGATAGTCGCTTGTGCGCCGTCCGACTAAACGGGACAGTAAGGATTCGAAGGGATAGGGACACTCGTCGTTGCCTCTTCGTCATATCAGCCTACGCCTCCACTGACTGCAGCCCAGATGATGTAAAAGATGAGTTTTACAGAAAGCTTTCGGACCTCTGCCAAAAAGTTAGGCACTCTGATGTAGTAATAATGGCTGGTGACTTCAATGCTTAAGTAAGTAGATTAAGTGAAAATGAAAGACACCTAGGTGGATGTTATGGTGTTGCAGCTCAGAGAACAGACAGTGGTGACCGTCTGTTGCAACTGTGCTCAGACAACCGCCTATTCTTAGCAAACACTAACTTTAGGCATAAGGAAAAACATCTTTTGACCTGGAGACCGCAGAAGTCGTCTCAACGTTGGACGCAACTAGATCACATTGCCATCAGCCACCGATGGAGGGGTTCGATAGAGGACTGTCGCTCGTTGTGGGGCACATGTTTAGATTCAGATCATGCCCTAGTGCGAGCGCATATTTGTTTGAGGCTTGCTGGACGTAGGAAAGACACCGTAAGTAAACCTCTTAGGGCTTTACTTGATGATAATCAAGCTAAGAAAATATTTCGGGAGGAACTAGAAAAAGTTAGAAGGCCATGCAAGTGATTCCCATCCTGAAGCACGTTGGAATCATATCAAGTAGGCTGTGGAAACAGCAATGGTATCTGCTAGCAAGATAAACCACAAGGCTAGGATGAAGCAGTGGATTTCGGTCGCATCCACCGAACTGATGGAAGCTCGAAAACGCATCCCACCTGACTCTGAACATGATGAAGAGCGTAGTCAGCTTAGGCGCAGACTTATAAAAAGCCTACGTAACGACCGTGAACAGTGGTGGGTGGCGAAAGCAAAAGCGATGGAAAAGGCAGCGGCGATAGGCAACACTAGACAACTTTTCCGCCTTATTAAAGAAACCGGTATTAGGAAGCCGAATGTGAGTGAGACTATCTCGGAAAAGGATGGTCTTATTATCCATTCTCAATCTAGGAGGCTGGACCGATGGGCAGAACACTTTAGGGATCAGTTCAACTGGCCTTCAGCCACACTTCGGTTGCCCACGATCTCCAGTCATCCTGAATGGCAAATCGATTTAAGTCCACCCAGTCTATATGAAGTTGAGAAAGCTATAGGAAATCCAAGAGGAGGTAGAGCGGCAGGTCCTGATAGGCTTACCCCTGAGATGTTTAAGGATGGTGGTCCAGTTTTAACGGTTAAACTGACCGAGATCCTAGGTAGAATCTGGGAAATGGACGTAATCCCATCTGACTGGTATCAGTCGCTAATTGTCCCAATCTACAAAGAAGGACAGAAGTCCTCTTGTGACAATCACGGGGGAATAAGTTTAACTAATATAATTTCTAAATTGTTAGCCTCCATTATACTTAGACGTCTAACTAGAGCTCGCGAAGAGCAGACTCGAGAAAACCAGGCTGGTTTTCGACCTGGACGTGGCTGTATAGACCACATCTTCACACTACGACAGGTCCTGGAACACAGACACACATTTAGACGTCCGACAATAGTCGTGTTCCTGGACCTTAAGGCGGCATTCGACTCAGTGGATCGTGAGGTTCTGTGGCAGTGTCTGTCATTGAAAGGTGTACCAAAGAAGTACATTAACCTTATACAAGCACTCTACTCGAACACCACTGGTCGGGTGAGAGCATATGGCGAACTGTCATCTGAATTCTCTACATCAAGTGGTGTCCGTCAGGGATGTCCACTCTCTCCATTCTTGTTCAACTTTGTCGTAGACATCCTCTTAGAGTTAACATTAAGCTCGTCAGATTTTTCAGGGGTTGACCTTCTACCAGGAAAGTCGCTTACTGATCTAGAGTATGCCGATGACATAGTTCTATTCGGTGAAGACGCTGACAAAATGCAGAGTCTTCTGACTACCATAAGCAACAATGCAGGCATGTTCGGGATGCGGTTCTCACCCTCGAAATGCAAAATGTTGCCTCAACACTGGGTTGCATCGGCACCTGAACTAGCGATAGGGAGTAAAGTAGTCGAGCGTGTTGATCACTTCACTTATCTAGGGAGCCTCATCAGCGCTGATAGCCTGGTCACTGACGCAATCTCAGCACGGATACAGAAAGCTCGATTGGCTTTTGCCAACCTGCGTCACTTATGGCGTAGGCCTGATATCCGTTCGCTAACCAAAAGGCGGGTGTACTGCGCAGCAGTTCGTTCCGTTCTCTTATATGGCTGTGAAACATGGCCGTTAAGAGTAGAAGATGTTCGTAGGTTACTAGTATCCGATCATAGATGTTTAAGAAGCATTGCTCGTATATCGTGGGACACCCGAGTGAGCAATGCTGTTATTAGGAAACGGGTGCTAGGTAAGAATGGCAGATCAATAGATGAAGTAATGAAACGTCATCAGTTGAGGTGGTTGGGACATGTGTTACTTATGCCTAACCACCGACTGCCCCGACGAGCTATGTTTTGTGGTGTAGGAGTAGGTTGGAAGAAAGTTAGGGGCGGGCAGACCAAAATATGGCAGAAATCCATGAAGTCACTGACAAATGGACTCAGTAACGTTGGTAGGTGTGGACTACATGATTGGGGTCCGTGAGACGAAAGTAACCGATGGTTAGCATTTGCCGGTGTGGGATATGAATTGACAATTCAACCTGTGCTAATGTGGTATGAAGACTTGAACATATGAATGTACGAAGTCCTAGGTTACAACCGACAGACTAATAGCCTCAAAAGCTTAGCAGAATAAACGGGAAAATGTGGGATTAGTGATATTTAAGACTCGTACCGACAAGTACAATTTAGTCACCCGAGTTTTTAAAGATGCGAACTCGTATTTATGTGAACGATTACTACCTTACCAAAACTGAGACATGATTAGTATTAGCAGACCACATACCTGCTCCGCCACATACGGCATTCTGAGTATAAATTAAACAATCATTAGTCACACATAAGATACACAGACTAAAAATAGGTGATAAAACCGGAAGATGCAGTAAAGACTACAAGACAATGAATTTTGATACCAAAACCAATTAACTGAGAAATTTTTCGCCTAAAATTCTAGTAACAATTGTACTTATAGTTTCGCAGTAGCAATCTCTTATAGTATGAAATCTCACGACTTAAAGACAGGTCTATCGACACTGAACTTACTTTTAAACTAATAAATAGCCTGCCTCAGTTATAACTTCGAAAATCAAGACATTAAACAGCAACCCAGTGACACATTGAAACCCGTTACCTT